GATTATGAACTTGGTGGTGCGAGTGGCACACAGTATGGGGATTATAGTGACAGGTGTGCTGCTTTTGTAATTGAGATGATAATTGTTAACTCCCTTGCAATTTTGAGTGTTATACTGATTTCCTGTTACTGAATATAGCAGTAGGTTAGGGAGATCAAATCTTGGATATAGTGGCAGCCGGAGTTCCCTTTCTGGGCAAGATTCTCATGGAATGTATAGCAGTCGTCAGGGAGGCTATGGCGGAGGTGAGTTGTTAGTGTTCTTTGTAAAACCTTGGTGCTCATGTGAACTGTTTTAGGTTTACAGTGATATTATAGGGTTGGCTATGGATACTTTTCTTAATTTTTTTTTTTTTGGGGTTTACAGGCTCTTATGGGGGCAGTGATATCAGTGGAATGTATTCATCTGGCTATGGTGGTGATTACGTGTCTCGTGGCAGTGATGTATGCTTCATTTTGATGATTATTTGGCTGGAGCTTTTGTGTTTACTGCTGATCACCGTATTTACGTTCTACTTTCTCAAAATTTTCAGGCTGGTGGTAGCTCTTATTCATCAGCCTATTCCAGTCGTGGCATGGGTGGTAGTGGTTATATGGGTAGTGGTGGTTCTGGATCTTATTACTAAGGTATGTCACATGTTTAAAGCTGTCTTATTTGATAGGATTTTTGATTCTTATGAATTGAGGATCTTACTGCGCGAGCATTCTTTCTCCCTGTTTAGTTGTGGGGAAGGGGGAGTTAGGAAGTTTATACTTATGTTTCTTCATAAGAGCTGCAGTTGAAGATGAGGAGCATTCAGTCACCACAAGTTTGTTTATGGTACAGATTTGAGTTGGACAAAGAGACTACAGTTGGATGTGTATATCCGGAAGCTCTATGCAATGAGATCCCACTGGAAGAAGCTGAGTTAATCTATTATTTGTAGCCTCATTGTATAAGTAGGGCAAGACTATCTAAGTTTTAGGTTATGTTGCTCCAGAGCATGTTGGATTCTACTGTGGGGAAAAGCGACATCTGTTCCTTTCCTGCTGTAAGGAAACATAAGCCTCTTTTAGAGTAAACACACACTGGTGTTTAAACATGCAATATTTTGTTATGGTATCTCCATGTAACAATTTACTGGGTTAATGGAGGAGGTATGCTGCATCATTATTTCAAGAGCAAATGATTCATGAAAGTGCAAGTTACGAATTATCTGGTTAAGATCCTCTGGGTGTATTGCATTGAGGATCATTAGGGTAGTTTCTGACAGTATTCTATCCAGTTTGATATTCTCCACACAAAGTTAAACCTTCTGGACTGCTAGGGAATGCGTAGTGTCAATAAAGAGATTCGTTTATGTTATCAAAGTATCCGGTATTGTATTTAACTTAATGGATTGACAAGCCTTCCAAAGTATCATCAAGATTGTTTCTGAAGGTGCGGGATTATGGTTTCAATAACGGAAAATTCGATTAGATATGCTTGGCAGATTATGCTATGCAATCTTGAAGCAAAAAGAATAAAGTCATTTGTTTGTCGGTAGCTCAATTTACAAGACCAAAATTTGTGCTTGAGCAGAAAGAAAGAAATTGATTTGTGATGTGTGTCCGCCAACCCCATTAATTGTGAATCCTCTATGCTTGTTTTCTTGGTGCTTCTATTTTGTTGCTATTGTGAGATGCTACATAAGTTCTTATCATTGGGCATAAAATATTGTTGCCTGGTGCCTCAACACCTCCCAGCTCTTGAACTATTTTCTGCAGCAAGGTTGAGTCATTGCTTATGTGATGCCTATTGGCTCCCTAATGAGATTATGCTTTCAGTTGTTGTACATTTTGTGAGCTGAAGTTGATTTTAATAGAGGTAACTAAGAACTAGAGATGCAATAAGTTGGTCATTCTTATATGCGTGGGGACAAAGGAATTTGAGGATTTGCACTGTGCTGCTTGAGTTTGTTTTGTTCTTTCATTACTGGAAGCTCTCTAATTTAGTAGCTCCGTTGTGAATAGGATGATCAAACCCTTGGAAAAGAAATGTAGTTTAAAATTACCAAGGGGATCAAGGTATAATATTTACTAAGATGAAATGGTAGTTTTACAGGTTCTGTTGTCGAGTGAATGCGACAATTCATGAAACTGCTAGTCTTGTTACTTGTAGAACGGTAAAGGGTCAGAGAGTTTTATAACTTAGTACTAGCTAATGGCACCGGATATGAGGGCAGCTTTCTTTGCTTGTGCAATTGCATTTGTTAACTGATTTTGATGTTACAGTTGCAGGCTTGCTTCAGCTGGGTGCACTTTTCTTCTTCCTTTTATCTGTTTGATAGCTTCGAACATTATTCTTGTACGGTGTTTCCGAGAGTGAGCGTACTTTCAGATACATACATAGATACATGCGCATTGAGATCAGGTTTTTGTAATCAGTAGCATTACGATAATGATGAAAGCTAAAAGCTGTTCTTGCATTTCAACTTTTGTTTGAACTTTCTTGGATGTGCTTGCACCCGATATTTGTATTTAAGAGCATAGTTGAAAAAAAGATGCAGTTAATTCCCGATAAAAGAAGATTCTGGTCTCTGGTAAACAACTTAAGACATTTTGTCTCTCTTTCTCTGTTGTGGATTGTTTTTAGGTTAATTTCGCGCAGGAAGAAGATAGCAGATGGACTTCTACCAAGTTTTAAGTTGGAATTGAACTTGAGATCTCCAAGTTATTACTTCCATGCTTCAACCACGTTATGTTAACTAGCTTCAATATATATAGACTAGTAAATTTACCCGCGCGAGAGCGCTGAATTTGCAGAGAGATCAATATGGTAATAATAAATTTAGCTACTACTTGATCATCCCAAAAAACAAACAAACACGAGAGATCATTTTCTCGGGATGTATAGTTAAATATATATTACAAAGGAAGATCATTAAGTTCCATCTATCAAGAAAGATCCAAGGAATATTAAAAAATCTCAAATTAAATTAAAGTTAAGTATCCAAAGAATATCTAAAAACTCGAATTAAATTAAAGTTACATATCTTTCATCTAATTACACAAACAAAGAATTTAAATCATTATCATCATATAAAAAGCAAATGACAAATACAAAGTTCCAATATAAGGATGTATTCTCATCTTCTCCGTCGAACAAAAGGGAAAAGAGGGCCAAAAAGATATTCTAAAGACTACATAAATGGGTGTTAATATATCTAGTAAATAAACAATACAGGGGAAGAGGAAATTATAATACTTTAAAAAATTGTAGTGGAGGAAAAGAGTTAAGTTATCGTACATTTTGGACTTTTAAAAATAAAGTAAATAGGAGAAAAAAAGATAAATAAGTTTTTCTTTTCCTCCAAGAGATGTGCCAAATAAGTAAAATATTACTATATTGTTTGAAAGAATTGAAATCAATAAAAAAGTTAGTTTAACACATTTACAAAAATTGCCGAGCAGCCACCCTGGCTCTTGTCGTTTTTAAAGGTTTATCTTCAGTATGCCTTCCCTTCACTATCTATTATAGAACCTTGTTCTTGGAAATTGGCGGGACCAAGGAAATCAAATGAAATTATCCAAAAAAACTAACATAACATACCATGAAGGAAAAGTATTTAGTTAGTTATATTCAACTCCTTTCGTGTTTGCATTATATTATAGCAGAGGTAGACATAAGCCTTACCACCAAACTATCAATCTCAAATTATTACAAATATGAAAGACGCACAGAATATACAGTAATTGATGCCATAGCACAATGCTATTAAGAAGAAAAAAATCAACAATTCAGTTCAGGGGCGGCTCAAGAAAAGTTGTGGCCTAAAGCCACACTTTATTAAGAAGCCTTAAGCTTATATTTTATTTTAACTCTATTTTGTCTAGCTTTTTGAGATGTAAAATTATTAATGATATGTATATAATTTATGTAATCCTTCTTTTCTATTTGAAAATATAATTAACTCATTTAATCTTTTTTGAGATTATTGTTTAATGAAATCCTCTTTTAGATTGTATTAAAGTTTCAATAACCTTTTTTAAGTTGAGTAAGCTGTTGACATATTTGAATTCTAATATATAATGCGGAAAAAAGTACATCCATGAAGTGAAAACAAACAAAAAATGCAAAGCAAAGTTTAATTAATTTTGATTGTTATGTGCGTGCTTGAAAACTTAAGAAATAGTAATGACTAATAACAATGAATGTCCAGTTTAATTTATTCATTGTCCTTGTTTTGACAGAATAAGCTTTATAGGAGAACCCAAAAAAAAAGTACAAGTTTTATAATGAAAAAAAGGAGAAAAAGATATTAATTGCATACGGTAAATTAGCCAACATTCATTATTAATCCTTGAGTAAACACATCTTCTATAAATATTTTATACTATTTATCTTATATTATTCAATATTTTTGAAACAAAATTAATCATAAAAACATAATTAAAAAAATGGGGCCCCACAAATTGGGGGCCTAAAGCCATGGCCTTAGGTGCTTGGCCCTTCAGCCAGCGTTGATTCAGTTACAAGGAGACCTTGAGATTATTTCATATGGTTCTAATTATTTATCTATTGGACTCGATTTCACTTCACTCACTATTTTCTACCATTCTTCCAAAAATTACATACTATCACAAAGAATTTTATTATCAAGAATTCAAATTGCTGTTTCCAAGAATAGGAAAATGAACAGAAAAAGGACAACTAAAAAAGATTAACCTTTTTCCCCTAACAAAGATGCAATGAATACAAGAAGAAAACTCAAATATAATTGCACAGATAATTTTGTATAGAAAGATGAGCACATTGCGTTTGGACATAAGAATTAGAAAATTCTAAAATAGGGTGAAAAAATTTTCAATTGAAAATGGTATTTGAAATTTAGAGTTGTGTTTGGACATGAATATGATTTTGGGTTATTTTTGAAGTTTTGTGAGTGAAAATTTTGCAAAATACATCTTCAAGTGATATTTGATTTTTTTTTTGAACAAACGCTGATTTCGAAAAAAAATTAAATTTCTTTGAAAAAAAGGGAAAATTTGTTATGTCTAAACGGGCTCTGACATTGCAGAAATGTCAAAAGATATCTTCCAAGTTGTGCAGCAACTCCCCTTCTCCTTTACATCAGATCAGAAAGGTTATGGGAGAAAATATTTTGTTGGAGGATAAGTCACATTCGATATGGTTAATTTTTATTTTTTATTTTTTATGTATCTGGTGCCAACCTTGACTTCAAGTGATTTTTGGGATGGGGTGTAATAAAGAGAATTTATGAAGTGACTTTAAGTTTTTTAAAATTTTAGTTGAATGAAGTAAAAATAAATCCAAAAAAAGGAGATAAAAGATAAATAGGATCCTTGACCTAGGAGAGGTACCAAGTCTATCCTTTTTTTTTTTCATTCCCTCATTTATACAAATATATATAGATATAGATTTAGCTCAAGAGCTTAAATGAAGGTACTAACCCATCTACGATGTCGCTAATTTAAGTGCTATGACGAGGGTAACAACACTTTGAATCTCTAAAACGCCAATACCTCTTATCTAATTACCTTTAGTTGAAACATAGATACTAAAGCCAGAGGGGGTGTGCGTGGGAGATGATGAATACTCCCAAGGAAATTAAATTTCCCAGGAGATATGCAATTTTCCTCGTAATCAAAGGAGTCGAATTTGAATAAAATCGTATTTGATCTCATCCAAATCTAACTCATCAGAATTGTTGAAAATAAACAAAATGAATATAACAAATGGCGATAATTTTAAGGTATTATATATCAGTTGAAAATGCAAAAACCTTCTAAAGTTAGAGAATCTCAAATTACTGTATATCGAAATGATTTTGAACCAAATAATACAAGGATTTATATAACCAAAATTTCAATTAGCTTAGGATTGAAACATAATCTTTGTAATGTATTATTCCTCTTTCCGTTAATGTTGACCGCACTGCGGATCTTGCCTGTATTTATCGGGAAGCAGAAAGGCAACAAAACAATGACTTTTTGTAGTCAATTAAGATCACAACTTATGACTCCGCAGTCTTACGATACTAGTGGGGAATGGCCCGTGCTGAGCTCGGAACCAAACTTCATAAAATTAGCAGCTTATATTAATTTATAAAAAAAATAGATTACTTTCTATAGGGAGCAACTTGTGTTATGATCAATTATATTGAGATATAACAGTTGATTTGTTAAACATTATGTTCTCTGAGGCGAAGAGCTGCGTAATATTAATTAGGAAAAGATGACATAGCTATATAAAACTCATCGCAAATTATTTTTTTATGTTATTACTTTAAATGATCCTTGGGATGACAATAACTTTCTTTCGATTTAGTCTTAGAAACTTGGATATATAGCAGAGCAAAGAAAACAAATTCAAGTCAAAAGTCATATTTACTGCTAGTTTTTCAGCCCATAATTTAC